TTAAAAACACTTCCACAGTTTCCTGGATTTCACTTCATTCAAAAAAAACTTTGGCGAACTGCACGTTTTTGGTCGTTGCTATTCCAGTTAATTGTAGTAATTATTTTCAACGCAGTTCTTCATCTTCACAAACAGCTTCTTATTATTTCTATTATTGAGTTTGGTTTTAATTTTGATGAAGTAACAGTGACAGCGGTAGTGTGTCTATGGAACTACGTCCCCGCTCCGAATATTGAAAATTCTTGTAAAAGCTTTCAGTTTTGCTACTATTTGACCATTGTGGTGTATTTCCTGGAAAATTTCTTCTTGTTTGTGCTAATGTCATCGCAAGCTGCTGGAATACACGATTTTGAATACGAGCGTGCCTCAATACAAGCTGTTATTATCCTTATCAATGCTTCAAAAGCTGCTTTCTACTTTGGAATCATGAAATTTTTTTGGAGTAAGATATTCGAACCCAGTGCCGATTTATTTGAAAAAGAATTTTTTTAGGTGAAAGGTTTTAAGGATTGAACCCAGCTTAATGTGCGTAATGCCGAACTGCTGTAAAATCTAGACATTCATGAATTGATAGTAGAAATATCTGATATAGGTGTTTTAAGCATTAAAAGATCTTCAGCTCGTGATTAAAAATCTTTTTCTCGAGTTCTCCCAACAATAACGCGAAGTTCTTACAGAGAATTGAATGGAAAAATAAAAAATATCTGTTAATGATATGCTTTTTTATTTTTTTTCGGTACAGTATCCTAGTCATTTGCAGTATCCTAGTCACTCGCGTGCTGTRATTGGCTAGTGCGCGGTCCGGTATTTCACGATCTGCCCGGTCCACGGTATCCTGAACTAGATTGCGAACAAAGTTGCATAAAATACAAATAAAATAAAAATGTAATTTTCACTAGTGAAAAGATAGTGAAATAACACATTCGAGGTTTCTCTATATAGTATATATAGTGGAAGTAAGAAAAAAATATTTTACGACATAACATGTTTGCTTCATATATATTATATCATAAACAGAATATTACATGGTCGCTTGGAGATACGAATTTTATCTTCTCGTGAGATCTTTTCAAAATCCGTATCTCCGCGCGCCCATGTAAGACCATGTAATATCCTCTATATTTTTTTATGTTTTAAAATTTCATAAGGACTTCTTGATTGGTACTACGCAATTAACGCTGTAATTGTACTCCTCTCGACCAATCAAAAAGATTTTGTTGAAGGTACTATAMAAAAAGTCAAATAGCAAAAATCTTTGGTAGCCGTCAAAGGACTTTGTCGCTGCGTTCGCGCGGAAAATGGGGTAAATTTTTCTAAAATAAATGTCTCTGTCCTATTTCTTGTGCTCTMAATCTCCAAGCCATGTTTATCTCTCAAAAATCAAAACACGGCGGATGTTTTACCAGCACTTGTAGGAAGTTTGAATACATGTGTAACGGYAAAATGATCTGATAATGGTTACATTTACTATAGTAATGGTCACAGCATCATAGCGTCATAGCATGCTCTGATAAAGAAAAGCAACGTAAACACAAAGCATCGTAAAACAAGCCCAGGAAAAAGCATACATTATGCCCGTTGTATTTCTCATCCGGAAAATACACTAAGCTTATTGTTTTTTGAAAAAGTGTGTTTTTTTTTTTATTTGAGGGCAGTCCTCGCACTTCTCGGGACATCCTTTAACACATAGTTAACAGTTTGCTGTTGTGAATAGAATTATATTATATGAATGATCAATATCAAACAGTATATAAAAGCAGGCAACTCATTTCTCCTTGTAGTTGATGTCATTTTTGCCACCAAAAGTTTGTCCAATAGTACGGCTGTTTTGACAATCATACTTACACTACCCCCCACAAAAATAACGARTGTCACTGGTAATGGCGTCGAGTCTGGCAAGTCATGGACGTAGTCACGTCGTTTCGCGAGCGAARAAGACGCCTTCCCCATCTACCCTTGTCCCTAGAACCCCTAACAAGCCTGTAACGGATTCCAAGAAGCGTTTAAACAGTTCTGATGGGAGTTCAAAGCGTCATGTTACTTCTACCAGTCCGTTTCGTGTGGAGAGATCAAACAGTCGRCCCTCCGACCGTCTAAATCCTAAAACTGTAGATCCGGTAAGCTAAATTTTCCTTTCTTGTTTTTAATCTCTACCACAGAACCTCATTGACTTAGYGTTTTASTTACTTTAGAATTTTGTAGTGCTTTTTCTATTTTAGAGAACTTTACAATAAGACTCAGGATCGATCTCTTGATTGTCAACAAACCACAACAACACAACAACTACAGTAGTCTCTTTTCTAATATAAGTTTACTTACAAAAGCCTTACTTTTTCAGTTCAACGACAAAACTCCGAAATCGTCTTTTGCCGCAGTCTATGCTAATGGAGGGGTACCTTGCAGGTAAATTGGTATTGGATGTTACTATATTAACTTATAATTTACAAATTCTAAGCTGAAAGTACTGTAATAAGTTTAATATTTTTTTCAACAGTTGAAAACTTAAGCTTAAATGTAAGCTTACTACAAATTTTGTTGTTTTTAAATTTGATTTACTTGCTTTGGATGTGCTATCTACATTTATGTTATTTTTGAAATACTTTCACAGTCTATTAGATAATATTTATATGATTTAGACTTTCTTCGTGATTCAGTTCACTACAATTATAAGGTTGTTTTTTCAAGGATTGAACTTAACTTAGTCATAGCACATGGTGTTACAGTGTATATAATTGTTGGCTCATACTGTATGTTGAACATGCGGTTACAGAGGGACAATTTGTTGCCATGACTACAGTTTTCACATATCTTCAGTACATTTATCTCAAAGTTAAAACTACATCATGTAMAATTATGGAAGATGCTCCATTTAGTAAATCATACCAAATTTATGTAGAGCACATAGCTAGGAATATAGCCTCTGTTGCATTTCCCTGTGGCATCTTAAAGGACTAGCCAAACCTCCTAAAATTACACAATCAATGGCCATCTCACTTCAATGCTAGGGCACGGCTACCTTTCTTGAAATAATGCAGGAAACCGTGAAAGATTCTTTTTTCAAAAACATAAATACATTTTTTAGGAAATGAGCTCCTATTTATTTTTGTGTTTTCTTCACAGTGCAGTCTCACTCTGTTGTCATCTTTTTGTTTGACAATTATTTCCATGAAATTGAATGCACTTTGAAAAACACATAAAACGACAGATTCCCTTTTTCCATTGTGTTTTCACTTTGCAATTTGATAAAGCTGTGTAGATCTAAAAAGACATTTTTATAAAATGTTATGAACACAACAATAGTCATGGTATTTAACTTTGTCTTGTGATTAAAAGTTTTTCTACCAACTGCAGCTATGATCTGATGTATCAGACGAGTCCAGAGGCTGCAGCGTTTACTGAATTACTTTGAGCAATTAAATCTCTCTCTTCTGTTTAGACTCAGTATTACAGAGCTTTATTCTGCCTTAAACTATTAGTCAAGAGCAGAACTAATTTATTCATTTTTTTATAGCATTTCAAATGATTTTACAAATATTTCAACACTGTGAAATACCAACAGCTATAATCATGGAACTTCCCTTCATATCAATTAAATCCATGAGCCTCATTTCTATTTGCCCAAAAACTGGGCAGAAGTGCAATAATAAGTCATTAGTTTTGCAACAAGTGAAGATCTCAAGCACAAACTACAACTTATAGAATTAATTATTATATAATAATTAGTTTAATTGGGATATCAAACATTGCTTTAAATGATGTTAATAGTTATACTAACGTTAATAGAGAGTGGAGCGGTACACTAGTATCAATCGTATTTCATTCAGTCGTTAGCGTTCACTCGTCAGCGAACATTGGACTGTAGTTGACTGATTATGATGATGATAACAGTCTATGACGATGATGAGGCTGATATGATGTGTATAAACTGTGTAGTAGATTATAATGATGATAATAGCTGTCTATTAATAATGACAAGTGTAGATGGTGAATATTCTAATATTAGGATATCACTGGGAGTTTGCATTGCAATTAGCAATAGATTAGACTGGCATTAACATGTATCAATCAATTAAAAGTGCTTTTGCATTAAATGCTGTTTTCTTCATGAAAATTTTGATTGACAGCAGTCTATCTGAATTTTRTCTGGACTATAGTTGCGTAGCAGTACAAAAAATGTTAATCATGTATGGTATATTCATGATTTTATGATGTGGTAAATTAAATTTGATATCCTATTGCTAGAATACAATCAGTTGTATAAAGAGTAATTCAAAAACAAAGATTTGTGAGACAGATTACAGTTGTGATCAGTGAAGTGACAAACTCAGCAATCTCAAATTTAGACCAATATTACSAAACACTTCTACTAAACACTTCTATCTTGGGTTCCAATGTCAAGGTGTTCATGAAGTCCTTTATGTTTTTGTGACAAAAGGGAAATTGAACAAATGGCAGTTAATGGGAAGTATTAGTTATACTGCCGTGAATAATATCACAACTCTAGGAGAGGGGCAGATCAAGGTTGTTTAGCTTTGATGGCATCCCTTAAAATGATTACAATTCTTTTTCAGACTTGTGCATGGCTCTGTGAAGCATAAGCTTTCATGGGATACGCCACCTGAAAATTTACAGTATGATCCCATACTGGTTACATTAGCAGAGGTAATAAAAGCTGTGAWTGGTTTCTATATTGATTTTACTGCTAACATCATCCAAGATGTAGAACATTTGAAACAATCATCATTGACCTGTAGATGCCTGCAGGCTCTGATTCATGAAGGGCCACAGGGATTGAATGAAAATGCGTCCCTACTTAGCTGGGCTATTAGAAAGAAAGTAAATTTAATCATGTCCATGCATCCCCTGAATCCTCCCTTGGCTCATTTACATGTATGGGAGATTGTACTGATGTAATACCTGTAATGTACATTTAAACAATGTAATCTTTATGATTTGTTATAGCAAAACAAAACAACAAGAAATGATATTTGTTATTGATCAGTATTATTTTCAATTGTTTAGGGATTGAGGGAAACAAAGCATCCATATATGTTTGTAGCTCGTGAAGGCTTTAAGCAAATGTTAGAAGTTGAAGATGCGACATYACGAGTGACACCTCTCGTTCCTAAACTTATCTTGCCATTAAGGGCTGCTCTGGTAAGTTTTGTGATCATTTGTGAAGTAGTTTTACTTGATATATAAGGCAATGTACATGTATGGGAGATGTGAAATATAAAGCTATAAAAAATATATATATTTTAAAAGAATCTACTGTCTTGTGTCAATGCAAACTCTCTTGGTCCATATTAAGGTGAAGTGTTTGAACAAATGTGGTATGAGAATGGGTGTAGTGTGTAAAGAACAATTACAGTGATCTTCAGCGGTCTTTTTCTAATGCAGRCTGCATGATGCTACACCCCCTCCCTCCTCCCCCTTCCCCCCCAAAATGATAATATAATAAAATAAAATAAATAGATGTTTGCTAGAATGATCCTGTCATTAATGAAAGCAGCAACAAACAAACAAATTGCCAAAAACTGTTAGAAAATAAAACAGCACAAATGTTTCACACTTAAATTGCTTGGTTTTGTTTAGTCATCTCAAGATCTGGAAGTGTTTGATGCTGCTTTGACCGCATTGGTTCAGCTGAGTCAAGTGACAGGAGATGTATTAATCCCACATTTGAAAACGTTACTGCCTCATGTATCAAGGAGGCTGATGGATAAAACACTTAAAGAAAGAATAGTGTATGCTTTACAACAGATAGAGAGAAGTTGTGGGAAGGTGAGTCATTGTGCTTAAAATAGCAAAAAACATATTCTAATCTTTGTAAACATTGATTAATTGTTCGCTGTTTTTATGAATATTGCTATTTGGCATTAGAAAAGCAAACAATCGAACGGACAGACAAAAGAACTCTGACTTATWACTGTTGCAGTCAATAGTTTTGGTGGTTTTGAGTGGCCAAAAGGATTCAACTTCCCATAAGTCGTCCCAGTTCGGTTCCTGTTTGTTTCCTACCTAAAAGTAACCGAGTTCTGTATTGCTTTAGGAAAGCCTCCCAATTATCAAGCTGAAGATCCCCACTTATTCATCTGTTTGCTCATAACAAATATTGTAAAAAAATGTAAATCGAGCTTTATGATGCATTTGGTGATGGTAAAGGAAGAGATTAATGAAGAGACCACGTTGGGTGGTGCACGCACGTGTCTTCTAATGGAACAATTCAAAGAAGAAAGGAAGGATGAATATATGCTATTTTTGATCAATTGAGTTTAAGTTTTTACACGAAAGGAAAAAGATGTATTTTTGTAAAATTCTGTTAGGATTTATTGGGATACTGCTGTTCCCAATGATGTGTTACGCAATGTGTAGTCTGAAAAAGTGCTTAAAAAGTAAAAGGGTCAATGTCATCGSAATATTCATTTATCAAGGATAAATCATTGTTTTTATACAAACAAATCGTCTTAGATTGATTTTACSTTTGATAACGAAATCGAGGTCATTAGAAGTGTTGATTCTGTATATATCCTTTTATTATGTCTATCTGGATGCCCTGGAACCTGTAAAATTTCTTACTTTGTATAAATCCGTTTATTTTGCRTCGGGTGTGTCACTTGAACCACAGGGGGCCCAAGAAAATGACTTTGAATCTATAATTGTTAAAAATAAAATTTTACTTCTGAAAACGGTTTACTTTTGATTTATTTAGCCTCACTTTGCATTATTTTTCATAAAAAAAAGATAACCTAAACAAGCTTTAGCTAGCAGATTAAAATGATAAAACCTTAAAACTGAAAAAGTAAAGAAAAAAGCGGAAGGTTGACCGCAGATGAAGATAGTGGGTAATATTCTAACAAAGGTAGTCTTTAAGTATATGTCAATTTAAAATTTAAAGTGCTATTATAACGTACAATTCATTYGTTACTTAAAATACCGGAATGCAGCAGAAAGCGGCTGAAGTTCCGGTCGAATTCTTAAAGTTAATTGACTACACATCTAACTTGGATACACTTTTACTAGAAAATTTCCCTTACACAATTGTTTAACACTTCGGTGATCTACTAACTATAGCATTGASCCTTTTCAAGGAAACATTGTAGTGGACGACATGCTTTGATCTGGAAAATKAAAATTAAACAAGGTTATACTTTTATATGTTGTCTTGTATTCAAAACTGTTTCTTGTTTCCAAACTTTTGTTATGGGAATTATATATTCATTATCAAACTAAATTGAAAAATAGTCTTATATCAAGTGAGTTGAGGGATGACATTCCCAGTAGTTGGTAACCAATGAGATCGCCCATTTGCTCAGAAAAATTTGTTGATCTATTTGTTGAGATATTGAACACGAACTACTCGTGGATTTTATTAGGTGCCGTTAGAGTAAAGGCCGGGCTACGGCAAGATTTTTTTAAAAGAATCAACAACAATGAATCGATTGATTCATTGATTCATATTGTTTAAAAGAGTTCAGACGTAAGACCGTATTTTGACAAAACAAATATCAGCAAAACAAAGCAAAATTCTGCTGCATCTGTATATGTACTTACCACTGGACATTGTTACAGTTGCTCTTGGTGCAAGCTCCTGTACTCTTGCAGAATGAATCTACGCAGCGATTTCTCTGTATGCACGTACATCCCGCCTTATATCATGTTATATCCCTCACAAATGGGACATATTGAAACTATATCGAGCAAACAAGCAAGTTCATATTAAAAACTTTAATCAGGAAAAAAAACACCGTTTTTGAGTTTCTAGGCATCGACCGCAACCTATACGCGACCTACAACCCATAAAACTTAGGAACCAATAACCGACACGATCATCAGACGACAAGCTCTGATGAGCTAAAATCTGCTTATACACGTGATCATTTAATTCGTACTTTCAAATAYTCAATGAGATAAATATAAATGTACGGTCATTTGATGCAACTAAGAGTTCATAGCCCTATTCATATATAGCTTTTTTGCAGTAGATAATACTGCAAGGCATGTATCTAGCAGCAAGTCCYTGAGCATGTCCTAAGAGCATGAGGGGCAACACTGGACTAATAGTCAGTCAATCGCAGAAAACGCAAAATCCAGAACGTTTCACGTTACAGGACCTTGAATAAAATTTTATGAATTATTCGATGTTTTTCTAGCCATGTRATAGGAGCCACATAAGATCCTAGACCTAGACTTCTTTCATCTTCAGACCGCCAGCGGTTGTTGAATCTTGCTTCCAAGGCAACGGTAGAAACAACAACCAAAAGAACAATGTAAATGGCTTTCATCTTTCTGGTRTTTGATGTTTATTCGATTTCTGTGACTAAAATGAAATACACAAAAATTAAAAAAACCTATATTTTGAGAACGCTACTACCCAAGAGCGCATATATGGGAATACCCCGCCCCTGTCGCAAAAGATCGTCATGAGGACGCTGGCGTTTGCTGGACATTGCAATCGTGGCACCGAGGAAATAATATAGCCTTTAGTGCTGTGGAAACATCGTGTCCCCAATTACCCARACACCATCGCAAGGGATGCGGGAATGGAGAGARAGAACCTCCTTGCATATCTATATCTTCCTTTGCAACGCGCTGCAAAATCAGTATAAAACTGAATATGATAATTTCGAAAGTGTGCTTACCAAGTTTCAACGTTGCAAAGAAAGCAGTCTCCTCTGAATGTCAACCTCTAGTATTTATAATGAACCCTACGTACGAAAACATTTTAACAAATCTCGTGTTTATTTGGCTTTCCTACAATGGAATCAAGAATAGTTTCCCAC